TATTAAAATAACGAGAAAATTTAGAAACGTTTATTAAAACATAAACTTGTAATTCTTATTTACGAATACGGAACCGTCATTTACGCTGACGTGCCTTAACCGGTTCCGTATAGGATGCAGGTTCGAATCCTGTCAAAGGACGAATATTTTCTATGAAAATTTCTCGGACATTCAGGCCGGTAAATGTTATTTAATACTGTTTATTATAAACATAGCATTTACTTAAATACTTGTATCTATAAAAAGAATGTTAAACATAAAAATGTCTTTAATAAATTATCGGACTTTGTCCATTTCTTAATATATATATATATATATATATATATATATATAAGCAAAAACTTTATAACAGGTTTATTCATTAAATTGGCATCAATGAATGCTTCGATGTGGGGTCGTAAGTTTATGATTTTTTTTTTTTTGATTTTTTTTTTTTTTTTTCCGGAAATTTTTTTGATTTACTATTTGACGTTGGGTCGAAGAGAAAAATACAATTGGCGCGCAAATGACGGTTATTTTTTTCTATACACAGAATAATAAATGTAGATCGGCATGAAAGGTTTTGCCTTGTTTGGTTTTACGGCATATCAACACCTCAATGGGTTATTTAATGCCGACAAAATTGTTATTGTTGGTAATTTTTTTTTTTTTTTTTAAACAAATTTCTGGTAATATTTTTCCTTCAAAAAAATATATTTCTGGTGATATTTTTTTTTTTTTCAAAAATCTATTTTTGGTAATAATTTTCCTTTAAATATATATATAGCCGGTAATTTTTTTTCAGCAAGGTATTGAAGGTAATATTTGTTTTTCAAAAAAAGTTTTAAAGGTTTTTCATTAATATTTTTTGTTTCGTAATATTTTTTTTTTGTTCAAAAATATTTTGCTGGTAATATTTGTTTTTTCAAAATGTTTTGCTGGTAATATTTGTTTTTTTTAAAAATGGTTTTGGTGCTAATATTTGTTTTCCAAAAATGTTTTTGTTGGTAATATTTTTTTTTTTTTTTATTGCTCATGTATTTGTTTTTTTCAAAAATAGTTTTTCTATTTTTTTCAAAAATGTTTTGCTGGTAATATTTTTTTTTTCGAAAATGTATTTATTTGTTTTTTTTTTCAAAATGTATTGCTCGTAATAATTGTTTATTTAAAAATTTTCATGGTAATATTTGTTTTTCAAATTTGTTTTTACTTATTTTTTTTTTTTAAAATGTTTTGCTGGTAATATTGTTTTTCCATTAATATTTTACTCATTAATATTTTTTTTTTTTTTCAAAATGTTCTGTTAGAAGCAATATTTGTTTTTCAAAATATTTTTCCTGGTAATATTTGTTTTTTTAAAAATATTTTGCTGGTAATATTTGTTTTTTCAAAAATGTTTTGCTGGTAAATTTTATTTTTTTTCAAAAATGTATTTATATATAATATATTTTTTTTTTTTTTTGGTAAAAATTTTTTCTTCAAAATGTTTTAGTTGTAATATTTGTTTCTTCAAAAATGGTTTTTTAATATTTGTTTTTTTCAAAATGTTTTTGCTGGTAATATTTGTTTTTTCAAAATTATTTGCTCTAATATTTGTTTTTTCAAAAAATGGTTTTAAATTTTTTTTTTTTTTTGTTTACTGAAAGTATTAAATCCTATTTTCATCTGTTTTAACTCTAGTTTGAATGGGGTTAACTATTTGCCCTAGCTGGTAACTGATATAAAAAATATCTCTTTATCTAAAAACTCCTCTCAAAAACCTCCTGATCTATGCTGCTGGACGTAGTTTATCGTCTTACCCAGGATGCGGATTTATCAAAGTTTTCAGAACATCTGTCTTAACTTCTTTAGTTTTATTTATGTGCAAGGTATTTTTGATTAAGGAGGATGGGAAAAGAAGAATCTGACCCTTCCCATATATTTTTTTTTTGTTTTTAAGTCTAATGTTTTTAATTATTTTATAACTGTAAGAGTAATAATAATAATAATATATAATATATATATATATATATATATATATATATATATATATATATATATATATATATATATAGTAAAAGTAATAAATCCGTTGGTATATAATCCTCTCAACTGTTCATTCTTTTATAAATTTATTTACCGTTCTGCTAATGGTTCTTGAATGGAATTTGAAGAGAGAAGACATAGTATAGATATTGGTATTGAATGTCTGAATTAAATTTTTCCCTAACACCACTGCTCAGTTGGGAAGACAGGCTGTCACAAAACGATTTTAACCCGTTCTCTTTTTAGCTGAATAACTCAAATGGTTTTTCGGTGATTCTTACGGCAAATGGTGTCAAAATGCCTAAACGTCTCATCTGAAAATCTGGAAAAAAAAAATCAATTACTTTAGTGTTAATTTGAGATATTTTCTGGGATGGACAATTAATCTGTAAACACGATTTGAACAATTTTGCAGTTAAACTATATATATATATATATATATATATAAATAAAACATGTGTGTGTGTGTGTGTGTGTGTGTGTGTGTGTGTGTGTGTGTGTGTGTGTGTGTGTGAAAAGTGTGTATAAATATAAATAAATATATATATGTATAATTATTTACATATTATATGCGCGGTACTTATTAAAAGCACTCAATATCAGAATATAGAGCTAACATATTTAGTAGATAATTGTTTTGGGTTTCACGCTTTAGCGATCGTCAGTTGTCTGACGATCTCTAAAGCAATGAAACCAAGGGTCCTCATCAAATCTATCCAACCAAATATATATATATAATGATTCAGATAGATAGATAGATAGATAGATAGATAGATAGATAGATCTATATCTATATATATATAGATAGATATATAGATATATATATATATATATATATATATAGATATATATATATATATATATATATATATATATATATATATATATAGAGAGAGAGAAAGAGATGTGCTACATTCAACACCATCACTTGATAAAACACCAGAAGTGTTGAAGGCTATTTTTCTAGTGATTTTATAACATTTTTTTGTTATAATTTTTCAAATAAATGATTATATATATATATATATATATATATATATATATATATATATATATATATATATATATATATATATAATCAGGACTGTCTAGGTTCTATATCCTTCGTTGGCAACCGGTCTAGAAGGAAAAACTGAATTCGAAACCGGCCTAGAGAGGGTTGGGCTCCGTCAGCCACTTCTATTCTATGTGTCCAATTCTTTTGTATTTGGGATAGCGAATGATGCCTTCTAAAAGTTAAGCAAGAAATTAAGAAACAAGAACATTTAATTGAAAACAAAGAAAAGATTAACAGACTGTTGTGTAATATCTGTCCTCCTATATTGCAGTGAATTCTGGTCAATATCCTGACTGATAAAAAAGAAACCTTAAGCAGCAACAATATGATTCTACAGAAGCATGGTGAGAATACCATAGACCGAACATGTGAGTAACGATGAAGTTTTAAAGAAAATGGAAACAAAAAGGGCACTTAGACTTAACATCGCGAAGAGAGAATACCATGGATCGAACATGAAGAAGAGACTTGAAGCAACAGAAATGTGGTTCTACAGAAGCATGCTGAGAATGTCATAGACCGAACATGTGAGCAACGACGAAGTTTTAGAGAAAATGGAAAACAAAAAGGACACTTATACTTAACATTGGGAAGAGAGAATACCATGGATGGAACATGAAGAAGAGACTTGAAGCAACAGAAATGTGGTTCTACACAAGCATGCTGAGAATGTCATAGACCGAACATGTGAGTAACGACGTTTTAGAGAAAATGGAAACAAAATGGACATTTATTCTTAGAATCAATTATAATTTCTAGCGCACAAAATGAGGAAAGAGTGCTTGGAAAATATAACATTCACAGGACATACTGAAGACAAGAGAGACAACGAATGATTTACATTGCAGTCTTGTTCAAATAGTCTGGAGAACGGGGATTAACACATTGAGTCCTGTGTTCCTGAACAATTTTAACTCTTCTGCGTGCGTTTCTGAGTCAAAATTCGCAAATAAATGTTATGTAATGTCTCACGGTAGATATAAAAATAGTTACAAGTGTTTAGCCACCGTTCAACCGGAGACTTGGCGTTAAGTCCTTTTTCTCTACCACTGTTCAACCGGTGGCTGGGCATTACATCATTTTTCTATGTCTCAAGTGATCTCCAAATGATTATAATCAGTTACTAACAAAGACAGCGGCTTCATCTTCACAAAATCGTAAACGGCTTGACATACGTTGTAAACGGCTTTGAAATGACATCAACAATAAAACAGATATAGGATTCATTTTTAAGCATTTGAGCCTTGCATTCCTGAATAGTTTTAACCCTTCTGCCTGAGATCCTGAGTTAAAATTCGCAAATAATTAGTATGTAATGTTTCATGGTAGATATAAAAATAGTTACAAGTGTCTACCCACCAATCAACTGGTGGCTGGGCATTAAGCCATTTTTCACTACTACTGATATGGCCGTCAGAATCGAAATGTGTACATCGCCGTCAGTACTGTTTACCGACTGTCAATTCTATGTCTCAAGTGATTTCCAGACCAGATCTTTGTGCTGAGGCGCTGATATATTAAATATACTCAATTATTAATAAAGACACCGGCTTGATCTTCACAAAATCGTAAACGGCTTTACATATGTTGTAAGCGGCTTTGAAGTGACGTCAACAATACAACAGACATATAATTCATATTTAAGACGGCTTTGAAGATTGCTTGAAATTAAACGTGGTCGGAATATCATTTGAAGCCCGAAATTGGCAGTCGTCATGACGTACGGAAGATCTATCGTTGGAAGATATTATTTACAAATCTATTTAACAATGTTTTTTATGGGCAGGTGAGTAATTACAGTGATCCAACCTTCTTAACAACAGATCAATTAATTAGTCCAATATAATCACTCCACTGTGTGTCAGTAGAGAACGTGCAAAACAAGAAGACTCAAAGATTTACTCTCCAAATTTAAAAAAAAAAATTTAGCATATCCAAGCTTACAGCACCTGCCATTCCCAAGTGGTCACCCATCTAAGTACTGACTTAGGTGGATGTTGCTTAACTTCGGTGATCGTATCGGAACACGGCTTTTCGATTAACAATTCCGAGCCGTTACCCATTACACCACTAGTACATCCAAACTTACAGCACCTGGTATTCCCATGCGGTCACACCTGGGTGGATGGTACTATCGAACTGGGATTAACAATTCCAAGATGTTGTCAAAATTCCACCTGCCATCTAAAGTACTGATCTGGGTGGACGTTGCTTAAATTTCAGGACGAACACGGCGATTAACTTCCGCCATATTCATTACAATCACATCCAAGCCGTTATCCACCCATCTCAAGCACCACCAACAGTGATCGCATCGAACACAGTAGCAACAGATTAACAATTCTCGAGCCTTTATTCATTACACCACCATCCATCTAACAGCACCTGGCATTCCCAAGTTGTCACTGGGGTCAGACGTTGGAAAAAACTCCTAAACATCGGAACATCGCTTTCGATTAACAATTCCGAACACCACCATCACATCGGACTTACAGCATTAGACATTCCCAAGCCTTTTTTCATTACACCCTTGGTGGATGTTGGAAAAGCAGTGATCATCGGAACACGCTTTTCGATTAACAATTCCGAGCAAAATTCTCTTCCCATCACATCTATTTTACATTATGGCATTCCCCTGTCACCCAAAGGTAATGACCTTGGTGGATGTTGCTTAACTTTTTCGTGACCGTATCGGAACTCGGCTCTTCGATTAACAATTCCGAGCTTTTATCCATTACACTACCAGTACATCCAAACTTACAGCACCTGGTATTCCCAGAGCGGTCACCCATCTAAGTACTGACCTGGGTGGATGTTTCTTTTATTCGGTGATCGTTTTGTAAAATTTAAATCGGCTTTCTGATTAACAATTCCGAGCCGTTATCCATTACGCCACCAGCAGGTCCAAGCTTACAGCATCTGGTATTCCCAAGCGGTAACCTATCTAGGTACTGACCTGGGTGGATGTTGCTTAACATCTGTGATCGTATCAGAACTCGGCTCTCAGATTAGCAATTCCGAGCCGTTATCCATTATCCCACCCGCACATCCAAGTTCCAGCATCTGGTATTACCAAGCGGTCACCCATCTGGTTACTGATCAGGCTCGACCTTGTTTTAACTATCGGTGTTTCAAAATGATTTGGCCGTCAGAAACGAAATTTTACATCGCCGTCATTTCTGTTTACCGACCGTCAAACCAAAAAGTCTCACGTGATCTCCAGACCAGATCTTTTTGATGCTTTTTCGTTGATGAATTAAATATACTCAATTATTAATAAAGACACCGGCTTGATCTTCACAAAACCGTAAACATAACAGCATATGTTGTAAGCGGCTTTGAAATGACGTCAAGAACACAGCAGATATACGATTCATATTTAATGCGGCTTTGAAAATTGCTAAAAATTAAACATGGTCGGAATATCATTTTTTAAAAAATTGGCAGTCGTCATGACGTACGAAGATCTATCGGTGGAAGATATTATTTACAAATCTTTTAACAAAGTTTTTAATGGGCAGGTGGCTGGGCATTAAGTCAAATTACTACTGAATATGGCCGTCAGAATCGAAATGTGTATTTCACCGTCAATACTGATTACCGACCGTCAGTTCTATGTCTCAAATGATCTCCAGACCAGATCTTTTGAGCTTAGGCGCTGATGTATTAAATATACTCAATTAAGGAAATAAAGAAACCGGCTTGATCTTCACAAAATCGTAAACGGCATTACATATGTTGTAAAGGAAAGGCTTTGAAATGACGTCAACAATACAGCAGATATAAAATTCATATTTAAGCATTTCAAAGAAGGTCCTTTACCATTTTTTACCCTTCTGCTTGAGATCCTGAGTCAAAATTCACAAATAATTGATATGTAACGTTTCAAAGGTAGATAAAAAAAAGTAGTTACAAGTGTTTACCCACCGTTCAACCGGTGACTGGGCATTAATCCTTTTTCTCTACCACCGGTAATGCGGTAGTAAGGGCTGAAAAAGGTAAAGAGAGACAAAAAAGACAAACAATACTAGGAGCTAAAAGTAGCAGGAAGAAAAAAGAAAAACCATGATAACCACACGTCTTTCAAAAGACACGGTTCAAAAAAGTATGAAAGCTCTCTTGTAAGATAGCTTTAGAGAAAGAGTTGACGACAGTGATAGTAAGGGACTTAACTTTATTGTAAAAATAAGGAAAAATAAAATTAAATATTAAATTAATTTTCAATTGAATTGAAGATAACAAGCGGGAAAATTAGAAATGGAAGTTGAAACAGACGCAGAATGAGGACGAGTAAAGTCTCGTTGCAATGAGAAATGGTGGCAGATTGACTTTTTTGGTTGTTCAATAACAAGACAAATTTTCGAAAAGATACATTAGCAACGACATGACAGAAGGAGAATCAGAGTCGATATGAAAACAAATTAACCGAAAACAGAATGAAGAAGAACGAAAAGTGAATGATAGAAAACGTAAAAAGGGAATGACGGAAAACGAAAAATAATGAATGAAAGAAAACGAAAAAAATGAAAAAAATAAACGAAAAATGAAAAAAAAAGAATGAAAATAACAAGAAAAAAAAATGATACAAACCGAAAAAAGAATGCCAGGAAAAGAAAAAAAAATGAAAGAAAACAAAAAAAAGAATGAATGAAAACGAAAAAATAATGAAAGTCAACAATAAAAAATGAAAGAAAACGGAAAAATGAAAGAAAAAGGAAAAATATAAAAAATGAAAAAAAAACGAAAAAGAATGAAAAAAATGAAAAAGATCGAAAAAAAACCCAAAAGAATGAAAAACAACGGAAAATGAAAGAAAACGTAAACTAATGAAAGAAAACGATAAAAGACTGAAAGAAAACGAAAAAAAAAAAGATAAAAGAAAAGGAAAAATAATGAAAAAAAGCAGACAAAGAATGAAAGAAAACAGTGAGAGGATTAAAAAAGAAAGAAGTGGATGAGAGAAGAAATAGGATAGGAAGGGATGAAAACTAAAAAAAAGAAAAGGAGAACAGAAGGGGGAAGAGAAAGAGAAAAAGAGAAATAGAGAAGAAGAAAAGAGAAACAGAAACAGAGAAAAAGTAAAAGAGAAAGAAAAAAGAGGTAGATAAAAATAAAGTAATAAAAGAAAACTAGATTGAAAAAGAAATGAAAGTGAATAAACAAAAATACAAGACTGAGAAAATGGAAAAAAAAAAGAATTGAAAAAAGAAAGAAATGGAATAAAATGTCGGGTTAAGTAGGAAGGAAAAATGGAAAATCCAAGAAAACTATGTCGGAAGGAAAATGTCTGATCGGAGAGACAGGGTAAAATAGAAGAAAAGAGAAAAAAAATAATGGGCATAAGGAAGAGCTATTACCAAAATGAAAAGAAAAAAAAGAGTTATGAAAGAAAGGAGGAAAGAAAGGAGGAAAGAAAGAAAGAAAGAAAGAAAGAAAGAAAGAAAGAAAGAAAAAATTAAATATTTAAAAACTAGTTGAATGTGTGTGTGTGCCTGCGTGTGTATGTGTGTGAATGTGTGCGTGTGTGTGTGTGCGAGCGTGCGATTACTATGATATTATATATGAGAATATAAAAAACAAAAATAATCATTGTTTTCTTTGAATAATGTGCAAAACGTGTGTGTGTAGGATCTGTAAAATTTTGATACTTGATAATTTTAAGCTAATATACTACATCGGGATCAACTACTACTACTACTATTATTAATAATAAATTTGACATGGCAGTCCCTACAAACAGTATCATTGAAGATCTTCAAAAAACTATCTAAATACAAGGACCTTGAAATCGAAATCTCTAAAAATGTGACACAAGATGACATCAACAATTCCATTTGTAGTTGGAGCCCTCGAACTGATTGGAATAGATTACAATAGACTCATTGAAGGGATTCCTGTAAGCCCATACCTTAAAGAAAATACAGAAATTATCAAGCACATAATAACTAGGAATTATCAAGCATATATACTAAAATATTGTGTTAGCCCAAAATGCAGATTCTGTGATAAATATCCAGAAAGAATTGATCATCTTGTATCAGGTTGCACGATATTGGCACGCACTGAGTATAAAAGCCGGCATGACAGAGTTTGGTCAATATCTGCACTGGAAAATCTGTAACTTCTACGGGAAGGAAACTGAAAGAAACTGGTATGAACACCACTCAGACCCGGTTACGGAGATAGGACCTGTTAGAATTCTATGGGACTACACAATACACACTGACAGAACGATCAAGGCCAACCGCCCAGATATTGTTATTAAAGACCACAAACAAAAACGGTGCCTCCTTATTGATATGGCAGTCCCTTCAGACTGCAATGTATCGTTGAAGATATTCAAAAAGCTGTCAAAATACAAGGACCTTGAAATCGAAATTTCAAAAATGCAGTACATGGGAATATCAATAATCTCTGTTGTAGTTGGAGCCTTGGGAATGGTTGGAAAAGATTCCAGTAGACTAATTGAAGGGATTCCTGGAAGTCCATGCCTCAAGGAGATACAAAAAATTGTTCTGACAAGTACAGCCCACACTTTACGAAGGGATTTATCTAATCTAATTTTTTTTTTTTTTTTTTTTTTTGTCAGTGGAAAGTGTCATGATGCCATTTCTAACCTTAGGTCCCTTGGCGGGACCCGGAAAGAAATGTGTGAACGCCAGAAATCAAAGGAAGTAATAATAATAATAATAATAATAATAATAATATTGATAATCAAAGAAAATAATAATAAAATAATAATAATAATAGCATTGGTAACCAGATGAGATAACAAGTGAAAAAATATAGAAGTAAAACAAATAAAAAATAATCAATGGGTGATTTTGATGATGATGACGATGATGACGATGATGATGATGATGATGACGATGACGATGACGACGACGATGTTGATGATGATGATGATGATGACGATGATGACGATGATGATGATAATGATGATGATGACGATGATGACGATGATGATGACGATGATAATGATGATGATGATGACGATGATGATGACGACGATGATGATGATGATGATAGAAAA